TTAACTGGAATTTTCTGGTTTTTAGTCTCTGCCCACGTCCTCTTGTCCACTCACAGGGAAGAGTCTGGACCCATCTTCCTTAGTTCCTTCTTACCAGGTATTTATACATGTTGACAAGATCCTCCTGATCTTCCCCTTTGGGAAGCTACATAACCTCAGCTCCCTTGGGCTTTCCTCACATGTCAGATGCTTCAAATCATTAGCTCCTTAATGCTATCACTGAGAAGTTCAGCAGAGGGTTTAAGGGTATGCATCTTTGATTCTTCTCCTTTTAAAGTAGGAACAGAATGAATGCTTCCAACTTCTCAGTATTTTTTAAATGCAAGATGTAAATTTCAGAACAAAACTCAAGTATCACACAACAAAACCCAAGAATCTTTGACATGCAAAAAATATACAATTAAAAAAATATTCTTTATCTTAAAATAAATATAATAAACAAGCTGCAAGTTTCTCTTACAAATAGTCACGGTCACTCCAATTTTCCACCTACCATTTTGGAATTCTGTTTTTTGCTGGCTTTACTTAGTTTTTGCAGAGGAGAGGGGAACTCAACATTTCAAGTGGGGCTCCATGGAATACATTTTTTTAATAAATTATGAGCTCAAACTAGTATGAAGCCTTAGGAGCTATCTGATGTAAAAATAACAACCACACCTTCTGGTGGATGTAAAAAACACACTAGATGCCATGAACAGAACTTACAAACCACTTCAGCAAGGTACTTTAAAAAATCCAGGTATCCATGATAGGGTGATACAGGCTTGCATTTCAGTAGATGTGAAAGGGTCTCAGGCACCCAAACACATTTTTTGCTTATGTTCTTTTGATAATCTCACTGCTAATTTGAGAAAACACGAGGAAGCAGCAGAGCAGTTGTCTCTATGACAAAACTTATGGTCCAGCCTTATTGTATTTTTCCATCACCATTTCCTTTTCATTTTTAAATTTTTATAATTGACTGCTTTTTATAATTCTTATAAAAGAAAATTATTTGCAGGACAAATACCTGAGCCCTTGTATGGCAAACTAATTTAACTCATTGAAGATAAAACAGTAAGAAAAATACCCGTGTTTCAGGTTCACTGATACTGTTTAGGACAACTAATAGACAATGTAGCAAAACCAAGAATATTGATGGTATGGAAAGTATTTTAAATGTATGCATTGTTATATGTGACTAAGACTACTACAACTTACATTTGGACTCTTCCTAAGTGTATGTACATGCTTCTACCTTGAAACACATAATTATGGAGTTTCTCTTCCTGACTATCCATACAAATGGACTAGTATGGCTCCAAAAGTATTAGAAGTTACACACCTTCACATATTAAAGAGAGTTCTTTGTAATAAACTTACATGAATACACTTATTTAGATAGTGCATATTTTTTAAGATTATATATTAAAAGTAAGCTTTTCAATCTTCAAATATACATGACAAAAAGCAGATACATAAAAGACAAATGACCAAACATTAGTTTTCCAGATTACTTCAAATGCTCTATCTCTACAGCACTTGAAAGGCAGTGTTAATGTTTTGTTCCTCAGTCAAATAATCAGAGGAACAGCCACACATAAAGTCAAAAGCAATCAATTTAATAGTCAGATTCTGAAGACTTTGACTCTTTGAAAGAAAACCAATTAATAACTACGTTTTTAATTTTAAATATTACTGTCACATTAAGTCAAAATCACACTGACAAACGTTCTTTCATTCTTTTGATGAATAAGTTTTAGTACTAATGTAATGTAAATTATTGTCATCTTCAAGAAATTATGAGATACACCAAAGCTTCCATTAAAGAAAGAAGACACATGCAGGTATTTACGTGAATTTCATTAGCATTCCATTACGTGCATGTGACAACAATATTAGCATTATTTTGAGAACTGAAATACTGTGGCTATATCAAGTTTCTGCATGTTGATAGGGATTGTCACATGAAGTAATAGCAATCTTATCAGGAAGACAGATGAGGATCTTTCATCAACAGGAGATTATAGCATGGAGAGAATGCATCACATATCCAGTAATTTTAATATTCATGACGGACTATTTTTTCCTTTTATGTTTGTGAAGAGTTGGGTGGCAGCACGACTCCATTGCTTCAAGCCCAGCAGTTAGGTCTGCTGCTGTCAAAAGCACAACAACTCCTCCCTTGGCACCCGAGAAATCCTGAGCAAACCTGCCACCCAGTGACTCCTGCTCAGAACTGCCAGCGAGATGGAAGCGCTAGGCAGGAGACAATCCCTCTGCTCACACGGAAAGGAGAAAAACCCTTCAAGTAAGAATACAATCACAAATGAAAGAAGCAGAAATATTGGAAGTGCATATTCCTCTAACTGCATCCTATATAAACGTTTGTGCTGAAAGTGTTACAAATGCTACATTTGTTATTACTCAAGCACTGAATTGGGAAATAACTACGAATTGCCATTCCAGTCTTCGAAGCAACCCTGCTGTCCTCTCTGTCCTGAGTGAGGAAGACTGGGCTGCCTGTGGAAAAGGAACAGAGACTACCTGCACTTGGTTTGCCTTTGAAAGCCCAGAAATGAGGCTCAGGAATGCAAAACAAGAAGCTATCTCTGCTTCAGTCATCTCCACCAGCATTCATCAAGTGCAAAATGAACACAACAAACCAAGAAATATCCCTCAGGAAAACAGAGTTATACACTGACAAATAAATTAATTGATGTTTGGATCTAACCTACTTAACTTTAACTGTCTCAGTGAATTAAGAGTTAGTCACTCTTTAGCTACTTCTGCATTCTATGGAGTATCCACTTTTAAAATCTATTGAAAGAGGAAATCTTCCAGCACAAGATTCAACACCCACATGAAGGGAACCACCACTTTCTCTCTCCACAGAAGGTCTGTAGAGACCACATTAGTATAGCAAAACTAGGATAATTCGTTTTTAAAATCAAGCACTTCAATGAAGTGTCTAAAATATTGTGGAGTTGATCAGAATTTGGGATCAGGAGATCCAGCACAGCTGGCTATCTGAAAGATGAAACTTTCAGATGAGACTGGGAACTGAAATATTAAGTTAATCCTCATAGAGAATTACGCCTTACGCACTTATTGAGGCCCTTATTTGGCTCCAAATTTGTTCACTTGAAGTGCTTTGCTACAAACTGTCCTAAAATTGGGATTACATTTCAGAATTAATTTCCCCTAAAAGAAAAAAATCCAATTTCCTTCTATTTTCACTAAGAGAAAATCCAAAAGTGTACGTCAATGATATAAAAACTTTTCTTCAACATATGACAGACACAGGAGAAAGCTCAGGTTCCTTTCTCTTGCATTTATACGGTCCTTGCATTACAAAGTCCTCCACTAAGGGCATTTTTACCTTCCTTTCACACCAAAATCACAGCTTCATCAACACTTTCAGCCTGAAACACTTTCTGTTTCACGGAACACAATTTCTTTTTGTGACTTCTCTCAGATAGCTAGATGCAATCAGCTAAATGAAATTTGACAAATCCAGAGTGGTTTGACTTGCTCCTTTACAAGGAATACATTTAATGGGGCTTTAATCTTTAAGCTATTATTTTGACTGACACTCATACTCATTCCAGCATTTTCTAATGACAAACTAATGCCATTACAAGGCAATTCAAGGTTTTTCAATGTCCCATTATGCACCAATTAGTACCGAAGTGTAAAATAATCCTATCGAAAGCATGGCAAAATAGCCACACGCAGGAAGTATTTGGAATGATGCTAATGTAATAGTGTAGAGCTACATATTTTGCAACTCCTGAGGCAACACAAAATACACTGCAAACTGCTTAGTACCCTCCTACTAAGACTGGACATAGACTTTTGAGAGGTTCATTGCAGTAAAGGCTTTACATCTTTGGGTTTCAATGTTTTTCAGCTGATCTTAGCATGCTTCTACTGGCTTTGTTGGACAAGGACTTGTTCTCTGACTGAAAGTGAACAGTGTGACTTCTTCAGGACATTCGCAACTTGACAAATGAGCAGGCTGAGACAGCTCTGACTCCTCAAAGGGATGGTTTGTTCCATATGACACTAGAAAAGTTATGCTTGAAACACCTCAAATGCAGATAAACAGATAATGAAAAAGAATCTCTTGGTCCACAGGAAATCAACATTGCCAGCCTAGGAGAAAGACTCTGCAGGAGGCATTGTTACCTGGTACATAATTTTGAACATGCTGCTGACACTGAACATGGTCCCTGGTGTTCCCAGATACCACAGACACCACCAGCAACCTTTTATCTCCACATCTGCAGTTTCTCTTTGGAGCACAAAAAAAAGGTATCTAAATTTGAGGGGTTTTTTAATAATTTAAATCCAGAACAACAGAATACATATATATACATACGGACAGACACTGACAATGTTGTTGAACATTAGGTAAATCAGTGTGTAATTAGACATAATGAGAAGGGGTTTCTACTTGAGGTATTAATTTTGAATAAGCCTGATAGAAGACTGTAAAAAGATAACCATACATACAGACATGAAAGATCTGTGTTTCCTCTTTCTATGTGCCAAAACGAGTGTCTTTGTATTAACTTGTTTAGCCTTCACACAAACTCTTCTTGCTTAGTGTTTACAGACTGTTTGACTCCTACCCACCATCTGGCTCAGTCTTGTGCCAAATTCCAGAAATACTGACAAGAAAATCATGGGTAAGTAAAAGTAAATCCACATGTACACTTTTTCAAGATTATTTGCACCCTGTTTATGATAAGACTACCTACCTACCAGCTATATTCACTATTAATCAGAGTAGGATTTAACTGAGGTACCAAAATACTTACGTCACTCTAGATTATCTGATTTCAGACATCTACCCACAAGTGTCTACATGTCTGTAAAGTGTCTAAACTGTAATTTTATGTTCTTAGCCTACTGCGTCTTTCTAGACTTGAACCAACACAATACAAAAAATAAAACTATTCACAATAAAGAAAATGAGGCTTTTATGTATTAAATAAAGATCTATAGCATCTTACCATAACACTCCTTTCATAATGTTCATGCTCTTTCTCAAAATCTATTACAAAGCCATTTAGAGACCAAATAAATGTCAGGTCTAACGTGGGATCATGGGATGCAATGCATTGCATGGTAGCATTCTCTCCAACGGTGACATCAACGTTCAACGGAGCTAAAGTAATCCTTGTAGCTTCTGTGAAGTTAACAGCAAACATGGAAAATTCCAATGAACAAAAGTTTATCCAAATGTAAGCTCAGCTCCACAACTGTTTGATTACACATCAAACCACTCCCTCAAACTCTAGTTTACATGGTATTCATGCAGCCACCTTTCAAAGTCCAAACTAAAGAGAACAAAGGAAACCTTTTACAATGGAAATGGCAAACTTCCATTTAGCTGTCCTTTGAAAATGGCTATGCTTCAGTCTCTCAATCACACTACCGCCTATTTAAAGCTATTTTTATTCATTGAGTATATCTCAGGTAGAAGGAAGACAGACGATGACTGTTATGTGACTTGTGTTGTGTTTCTTGTTTTAATTACAACACTTCCAATGTTTTGAAACCTGTCTCTTTAATAAATGCAAAGTTCTGCTCAGTTGTGAGACTGAGTCAGATTTCCATTAGAGCACTGCAGGGACCCAGATTTTAAGTTCTCGACTGAGAAACAACGTAATGGATGTAAAACAAACTATGCAAACAGCTACATGTGGAAAGGAAGAGAAAATAATACAACAAAAGGAAGAAAGCTGTATGTCCCCCAGCAATGTCTCTTATTACAGAAACAAAGAGGCAGAGACCTCATGACACTTGCTAGAGATCTTGGTACATGCATCGAACTCATAAGGCAAGTTAGCAACATTGTTTTGGAAGAGATTCACTGGAACACTGAGACCTGTTCATCTTCTTTCAAATATTATACTAAAACAAAAAGCCACAGAATATCTTCCTTATGCCATGATGTATAATTTCTTTCCCACCAATATAAGAATGGGAGTAGGTACCAAAACCTGGAAGACAATAGTCATAAGAAAAGATCTATTGCTACTAGTTAAACCTGTGTTTGAGGTCTTACACCTTACTATAATGAGGTCTACACCTCTCTATACAGAGAACAGCAAAAAATCCTCAGCAAAGGCAGTATTTCTTGCCCATCTGCCTTTGACAGACACCTTCCCCTGGATCCTACTCCAGTAATCTAAAACCTGCTTAATACTGAGACTATGAGAATGGCACAACTACTGACTTTTGAGAACAGAGTATCTCACAGTGCACTGGGGTAACATCTGATACCTAAATTCCTACATGCTTAAGACAGCTGCTCCATTCTAGAGTTGTGTTTGTACATTTAGCATTTGGTTATATAATCAGTGACTTTCTAAATGTTTACATAAAATACTCTACCAGCCTAAGAAGTTTAAAGAGTGGTCCAGTGGCAGTGAACAAACAGCATGTGGGAAAAAAACATTAGATTTTATAATGCCTATCAACTTCAGATTTAACTTTTTAATTTCCTGTAGTCAAGTGCAAGGCCTGAGAAGTTTTATGGGACACATAATGTGCTTGGGAATATAATTTTCAAAGCATTCCTCATCAACCCTCATTGTCCACGACGTAAAAATAGTTGTTAAATATGTCATCTGGCACCTCTCTTCTTATTGTGATGCAACGGAGATGACTTAGTCTTTTATTTTCCTTTTTAGATGAATCAGAACAGAATCCTCCAAAATGTTAGAATTCTTTATACCTAGTTTAACGTATGGTTTAAGTGTTTCACTCTGCAGACTGAGTATGCAAATGCTTTTTCTGATTCTAGAAGGTATGATATGACTGTGAAAGGGCTGGATATTTATTTATACAATCTTTCAAAATAATTAAATGCTTGAAGGTAATATTAAGACATATAAAACTACAGAAGATGATAAAAAGTAACTGGAAACATGAAACAAATGTGATTAAAATAAAACTCTTACAATTCATTGGATAAAATAAATTCAGTATAAATCAGCCAGAAAAATGCATTCATATTATCGGCTTACACAGATAAATTCTTACATTAGTACATCAATATTGTGGCATTGAACTGTCACATCCAGCAAGATTTCTGGAACAGACATTAAAAATATACTTGATAATTGAGTATTCTGCTATCAGTGATACTTGATAGGCACATGAACAGCTGCTCACGCATGTCATCTTTCCTGTCTGTATCCTACAGCTATTTATTCATTTGACTTCATATTTTAAGTACAAATTAAGGTTATCAGTATTCAATCAGTAAATACTAATACTCATGAAGGAAGAGAGTTTAATAGTGCAATCATATGGCTATATGCTTCTATCTCATAAATTTAATGCATCTTTCTTTAACTGCAGAGCTCTCTCAGACTTCCAAAAAACAAAAAAGAAAGAAAATGAAACTAAGGAAGGTCACTAAGAATCCCATTTCTCTGAGTTATAGTCCCAGAATTACACCTCAGCACGAGTGCTAAGCTACCAAATTGAATCAATGCATCAAAACATGTCAATTTAATGAATTGGATTTAATAATCTCTTATGGAAAAATGAATCCTGCAAATTGAGATACAGGCTCAGAACTGGTGTAAACATACACAGTTGTCACTGAGAAATATGCTTTAAAAGCACCGATCCAATGTTTAAAGAGCAATTAGAAAAGTCATATAAAATGGCTTGCAAAAGCAGTGCAGTGCCGGAACAAAAATAGATGCTTTAAAATTGAGATTCTACCTGAAAGAAACTAAAGCTATTTGGAGGCTTACCTGTCATTTCCAGAACACCAGTGCTGTTCGCTTTTCCTCGGTTATTTTCTGCAAAGCAGGTGTAGCGACCTTCATCCAGCTTTGTGATATTGATAATTTCCAGGCTCCCATCATCCCAGATACGTATGCTATTGAAAAGGCAAAAAAAAAATCCCCCAAAAAAACATCAAGAGAACTTAGTTTTTTTTTATAAGAAAGCAATACTTTCAATAGAATTGTAGTAAGTAAAAGATCAAATCACAAGTACCTCTTGAAAGCTCACATCTACCTACTGCATTTATAAACACTACTATATTAAAATATTTAAATAGACTGTGGCGTGATTAGATGCCTCACATTGCTGGAGCAAGAGCATGTACTTTTATTTTCAATTCTGAAATGTGAACAGAACCAAACAGACTAGCTAAAGTTGAACACCCTGCTAACTATTTGGAGCCACGCTGCTAGTAACATCTTGGCATATAATTTTCCTGAAATTTTACTTTCTCCTGCCCCTGGAATCTGCAAAAGTGAGAACTAGCCTACAGGATAAGTAGAAACATAAGGCAGAAACACAGCTGCACAGTGCCCCTTAACAATCAATACTGACCGGCTCCCATTTACAAGCAATTCAGTTCCTTTGCTCCACGAGAATTTTGGCTTAGGAGCAGCTTTAGGCTTGCATTCAATGATTACACGGCCCCCTTTAGCTGCTAGGATTTTCTTCTTCATAGGGTTCAGTTCAAAAGTAGGAGGTGAGGCTGAAAGCAAAAATTAACACAAGCACTGCTGTCAGCGATTTTTCTGCAGAATACAATTTGTTTGCAGTTTGAAGGTAAGTAGCAGAACTATTGAACTGTATACAAGTGCCCATTATTCAGACCACTGAGAAAACTATTAATGATACAGAGATGCAATGAGAAGTAGATTGTGACCTAAAAGAAACAGAAAAAATAATGATGTAGTATTATGTTGTGTTACACCAGAGGTTTCTT